GAGTAGAAGTGATTTTGTGCCAGTTCAAAGTTTATAACCGAAGAAAGAGGCAATGAATATCTGTTTTCTCTCCTGGGAGCATTTGACCTCCTTCACGGAAAGAACATGTTTTACAAAACTGTTGGCTCTTCTCAGCCTAGGCCATTCAGTGAATACACATAAAGCAGACCCGAGTCCAGCTGCAATATGGCACCAAGCCTGGTCAGACCTGCTGCCTGAAATGGAGCCACCATGCAGAGCCATGTATACAAGAGGAATTTAGCAGAATTATTGTGCAGTTGTTCCTTTATACAAATAGATCTGGAAACCTTCTTAAAGGACGGTTGTTGTGGGTCTTCTCTTTCTTTGTCTGCTTTGCTGTCTGGAAAACTGGATTTGGTTTTAATGCTCCAGTTAATTTTGTGGGGAGTGAGGATGAAGGCTAAACCCTAGGGATGGTGGAGCAATGAGCTGGAAGGCACACAGTGACTTGTGGAGCCACTGCACTTGCTTAGACCACCGTTAGGCTGGATTATCTGTCACATGCAGCTGCACTTAATCCTAACTAATACCATCAGTGAGGCCTTATCCACACATACCCTCAAAGACTAGAAGACCCAAGAGAGACCAGTTGAGTTCAGAAGGCTCAGACGAACCACTTTTATTGTCTCCTGGAAGGTTCTGGGCCATTTTAGAAAATTTTCAGTTTCGGCATTCTCTCCACTTTTGTGACTGAAAATACTTTAAGATATTCCAACCAGCAATTTCTTTGAAAGAAACTCTTATTTTCTTTTTCTGTCTCCAAGCTCTCTCAAGTGAAACCAAAGTGAATGTCAATATATAAAATAAAGATGAGCCAAAATGCTCTGAAAGAAAGATGGTGACAAAGAGCTGCATTCTGAGTCTTTTCTTTCCTGGTTCTAGAGGGGGCTCTGCCAAACAAAGCCCAGGACAGTGCTAGAAGCATGGCTGTGTCCCCTTCATCTTTGGATCCCATTCCGCAGCCCAGCTCAGCCAAGGGCTTGGCGGAGATCACTTTTATTGAATGTCACATTATTATTCTCTTCAATGCTCTCTGTCTTCCATCTGGGGTGGAAAGGAAACTGGGAGGCAGACAATTACATTGCTGATGTGGGATTTTTAGAGGAAAATTGAGGGAAATTATAGGGACTACCCAGCTGTGGTGAAAACTCCTCACTTTCTTCCCACAGGACCCATTATTTTACAAACTGCAACTATTAAAAATGATTTACAATCACTTGCCAACTTTACCGTGCTGTTAGATTCACTTGAATCTTACCTAGCTCTTAGAAAGGATACAGATGGTCAAACGTGTCCACTCTCAAAACCGGCATGGAATTTGATGACTGCTATTTAGAAAGTTGAAATCTATTACACCATCAATGTCAATCTTAGGTCCCTGATACCCCCTATTTTGTTTGGTCTTATTTCCTCTTAGATTCTGTCTCTTCTATCAGCTTAGTTTTACCTAGGAACCCCCCCCCACCCCCGCCCCCAGCCCCAACTAAAGACACCTCTGCCTTTAGTTTGTTTAGTCCTCTCCTTCAAAATAGAGAGGTATCTTCTTGAAATTTTTATCCATGTCCCTTATTTAAGGGTGTTCACTGTTTAATTGTATTCGCTGTCTAACTTTCTTCCTTTTCAGATTCATCAGGAAAGACTGATACCTCAGATAAGTGATAATCCTGTAAGAATGACTCAAATCCTGCTGGTGTAGTGAGCTGACAGGTTCTAGTGACAGCACTCTCCCCAATGGCTTATTATCTCAGAATATTGAGGAGCTATGGTGAAGATGAAGATAAACAGTGAGGTGGCTGTACAGTAGCCGCCGCGGGCAGAACTACAGCTAATTACTAAAAGGCAGCGTCTCCTAAGCTTGATGTCAACTTTGGGGACCTCACTTAAGAAGAGAGCTGCTGTCTGGTTCACTTTGTATTTTCACTTCAGAGGCTGCTGCTCTGTACAATTAACACTTAGAAAATGGAAAAGAAAGTGTTTTTCTGAAGAAATGCTCAGGAGACCGCCCAGTAGTTTAGATTATGGCAAAGAAAATGTCTTTAGTGTGACAAAAGCATAAATGGAGCAGGAATAAAATGAGTCACTTCTAAGATGTGCATTTGAGAACCTGAGAATAATCAGCTACTTTGAGTGGAGGCAAAATGGACAATTTTACTATCTGGCTACATACTAGGTAGTTTTGTAGGAGGTGGGGGTGGGAAAGAACTTTCTGAGTAGCTTAAAAAAGTATATAAAGTTTTACTGTCTGGTCATTATATAATAAAATTACTCATGATTATTGTAAAAATTTTTCAAATAATGAAAAAGAATATTGCATTGTTGGGGGTAGACTAGACTATGTGGTTGGTAGTAGTGACCCTGAAGGCTCACCTGCATTAATCTACCTCCTGATATTCTTGCCCTTGTGTATTTCCCATTCCAATGAGTGTGGGCTGCACTTGTGACTTCTTCTAGGGAACGGAAAAAGGCAGAAGTAATTGGAAGAAGTCATTTCTGTGGTTAGGTTACGCAAAGACTGTGGCTTCCTTCTCCCTCTACTCCCTCTCTCTTTCTCTCATTCCTTTCTCCTCCTCTTCCTCCTCCTCTTCCTCCTCCTCCTCCTCCCCCCACCTCCTCCTCCTTCTTTCTGTGTTTTTCTCTGGGTGTCTATCTCTCTCCCTCCCTTGAATCAGGACACAAGCTACATTGTCATGAGCAACATTGAGAAGAAGCCAGTAATATCTCTGGCGAACAGCAATCATGGAGCTGAGGCTTTCCAACAGCCACAGCCATGCTTGTGGGCTTACAAGGATGTTTTCAAGCCCTGGTTGAGCCAGAAAATGTCTACACCTTAATTGCAGCCTTTTGAGGTATCATAACCAGAACCACTCCTAAGTTCCTGACTTATCAAATAATGTTTGTTAGCTTTGAGCTGCTAAGTTTGGCAATAATTGGTTTCTCTCCAATACATATTAAATTAGTTAACTTTTATATCTCAATCAATTTACACAATAATACCACTACACATTTACACACAGATACACACACATACACACTTACACATTCACAGTATGTTTGTAGTTCAAACCAGGCACTCTGCCGAGAAGCTGTCTTCTGTGGGAACTAAGTGATCCAGGCTCAGGTTGCTTCTATGTTGTGGTAGGGAGTTGCTTGGAGGTTTCACAACTTTAAGTATCCCAGACAGAAAGTGATTTTTGTCTTTTCTTCTCACATGTCTTGGGTTAGGACTAGTGATTGACTCCACCTAACCTCACAGGAAATGGAAAATGGGGTAGTATAGGGATAGTAAATGAGAATTCAATGTTTCTACCACAGGTATGGCATAAAACATAAAAATCCACTCTTCTCCATCAAGCATTGTGTGTTAACTGTTTGAATCATGCTATTTCAGATACATAGTTATCACATAAGCATGCAGGTGTGTAATATATATGCATATATAATTTATATCTAGTACATGTAATCACACATTGGTTAACAACAGAAATATGCTCTGAGGAAGGCATTATTAGGTGATTTTGTTTTTGTCTTTTTTTTATTGGTTGTTCACAACATTACAAAGCTCTTGACATATCATATTTCATACATTAGATTGAAGTGGGTTATGAACTCCCAATGTCATGGAGTGCCTTTATATAAACCTAGATGAAACTGTCTACCATACACCAGTCTATATTATAATCTTATGGGATCATTGTTGATTGAAATGTTATTACAAAGTATGTGACTATACGTATAAACATATTTGGTATATAATTTTATACATAGTATTTTATATGCCTGTGTTCTTGTATGATTATATTTCAGTATAGAGATCTATCTCATTCTTTGTGATATCTATTAAGTATTTCATGGTTTGAACCTGCAGCAATTCATTTAGTTGTTCTCTTATTAATAAAGCATAGTTTAATCATTTCTTTGACTCAAAAATGTCTGAAAATAGCCCCATTTTCACCTGTTATTTCTCTAACTTGTCCATATGACCTGATGTGCATGTTTTGGAATCAATACACAGAATAAGTTTTGTCTCCACTGACCTTTGACTCACTGTGCTCTTGCTGTCTGCTTAAATAAAGGACATCATCATGTTTATTCCCTTTCAGGGGCAATAAGATGTATTAGAGTTCTTCAGGTATTCATCTTCATTAGCCATCATTTTGATATGAGTGCAAGAGACAGAAGAGAACAAACATTTACTAAGTGCAGAGGATTTAGACATTGTGCCTACATTTTCTAGGTTGACTTCACTGAAACCTCACAGTACCCCTATGAAATATACAATTGTTATTTCATTCATTCCTAGTGAGATCCTCTTCATGGGATTTAAGTACCCTCCTGCCTTCCTCCCCACCACTTATAATCACCATATAATATATATTTTTTTCTTTTTGGTACAAAGCAGAGTTAACAGCCTGCAATGATTGCTGCTTTTCTTAGTGAAGATATTAAAAAAATCCACGTGCCCTTTGCTAGAGATAGACCATACATATTTAAAAAGGGAAAAGAATATGCAATATTTGCAAATTTCCTGGAACAATTTTCTCTGCTTAAAAATGTGCTAGTTTGCCTTCCAACATTTCTATTAAAGAAGATATATATATATATATATATATATATATATATAGAGAGAGAGAGAGAGAGAGAGAGAGAGAGAGAGAGAGAGATATGATGGCTGTCTTATAGGCCCGTTATTTCCACCTGGGAATTCTATTAAAGAGTAAGAACATCCCCTGCCAGTTCATTTTTGAACATTCTGAGGGTCACAGGCCAACTCTTCTGGGTCCTTCTCCCTGACCAAGTGAGCCATTCCAATTCAGATGCCTGGGAGGCTGACAGCAAAGTACTCCAGCTTTGGCAGAGAAGTGGGAGCAGGGAGATCAATATATAAATTTTCTGCAGCATTTTCTTGAATGAGGAATAAAAGGATAGAAAACTTTTGACTAGACTCTGACTTCCGGGAATCTATAACTTTCTTCTCTCTGCAGTTCAAAGAAATAAAGGACCAGTCCAAAGAGGAAACCATCTCCAATTCTTGCAGGTACTATGATAGTTTTGCTATTTCAATTTTGCAGATGAATGAACAAAAAAGCTCTGAGAAATTAAGGAACTTGACCCCTCACTCAGGACATAGGCTTTCCCTGTTTAGATTGAAATAAGTGATCTCTAGAGGTCTTTCACCATTTAAAATACATGGTTCTCTGCAGAGCTGAGACCAGATTATATGCATCTAGAACTTTCCTTTCATCTCAACACTTTGAACACTTTCTCCAGCTAGCCTAAAAATAACTTTTTACTCTACAGTCTTTAGCTGACAGTTTGGAAACTATTGAAGAGAACACTCTGCTAATGAATTTGCTCTGCCCAAAGAAAAGGAAAAATTTTAACAGACTTTATCAGGATTTTCTGCAAACAGAGGCAGGAAATGATAACATTTCTATTGGATAGTTGTTATAAATGAACTTTGTTTTCTATGTATCTTTGGGTTCCTGGATTTAGTATGGAGCAAGGAAAGGGAAACTCAAATTACTCTGAAAAATAGTGTTGTATGGCATATTGGTGATGGTGAAGCTATTGGTATGAGGTTACATTGATGAACAGTTTTCCTTTACTCATTATGAAATTAAACTACCCCTCCAAGAATTACACTTCATCATTGGGAGATATGTGTTCTCATAGTCCTTTCATTCATTCCGTAAATATCCATTGATTGGCTATTATGTATCAATGTAGTTGCTGGGAATAAAGCAATGGTCACAGAAGAGAAGAATGCGTACTATCATGGTAAGCTTTTTATTTTATTGGAGTGAGGAAAAAAGAGTCAAAGTAATAATTAAGTAGCATAAGCAGTGTTTCAGAGGCAAGGGATTGCTATGGAGAAAAACAAAGCACAGAAGGGCCAAGCAGATGTGGAGTGGAGGAGGTTGGGATTTAAAATAGAATAGTGAGGAGGCTTGAATATTTAGACATTCTGGGGTTACCAGGGCAGACAAAGTTAAGGCCAGATAGGCTGGAGAAGAGCGGGAGAAGGGAGACGTAGAGCAGATAGGTAAGTGAGGGGCAGGACATGGGGGAGCTTAGAGAATGATGTAAGGATTGTAGCTTTAGCTCTGAGTGGATGGGGACCATTGCAGGGATTCTAGAAGAGGGGTGCTAAAATCACATTTATTTTGTAATAGGATAGCCCTGGCAGATCTCTTGGAAATCAGCTGTAGAAAAGGTGTCTAGAACCTATTGCAACAATCCCAGGGGAAAATGATGGAAGTGAATCAAGATAAATTTGAAAGAGGAACAAGAGGTGGTTTGATTATGGCTATATTTCTGACTGACTGAATGTGGGATATGGGAGACAGGGAGAGGCACAGATGACTCCTACGTCTTTGGTTTAAACAACTGGAATGATTCGTGGGTGGTCAAGAATTCTGTTTTAAATGTGTTAAGTTTGAGATGCTAACTAGATATTTTAATGACAGACTATGAGTCTGTTAGGGAAAAGATCTAGACTGGAGAAAAAATGTTTCTGGATTGTACACTGTTCTCAAGTCTTGAGATCGATGGGTTTGTTGGGAACAGATATAAATAGAGAAAACAAGTTTCAAGACTAAGCCTTGAAGCACTCCAAAGTTGAGAGGCCAGAGAGACGAGATAGAACTGGCTAGTGGCCCTGAGAGGGACAAGTTAATGGGATGGAAGTAAAACCAGGAGGGGCACTGTGGTAGCAGCTGTGAGAAGATGTCTTAAAGAGACAGTGACGAGCAGAATCAAATTCTGCTGACATTTCAAATAAAATCAGTACTGAAGTTGGCCATTGGATTTAACATGTTTCAGCAAAAGCTATTACAAGAGGAATTTTGGTGAAATGTGGAGTGAAAGCCTAGTTGGAGTGAGCTCAAGACATAAAGGGACAAATGCGAAGAGATATTGAGTGGGACCAAATTAAAGAATACGTGCCCCAACATTAAGGGGTGCTTGCCACCCAGGTCTGAGTTGCTCTGCAAATTCTCTGCATAAAGTTTTCCTAGTCTGAACAACTCGGATGGTGAGGTCATTTTAGTGAGAGGAAGAGGATGGATTCAGATGAAATCTAACATTTATAAAGTTTTCCAAAGCAAAGTAGATGTTCATATGGAGAAGTGAAGAACATGTCTGTCTTAGTGGGGGCTGCTATGACAGAATGTGGCACGTTGGGTGACTTAAACAACAAACATTTATTTCTCACAGTTCTGGAGTCTGGAAGCCACAGATCAGAGTGTCTGCGTGATCAGCTTCAGGTGTACCGAGGGCTGCCTTCTTTGTCCTCACGTTGTTGTAAGGAGATCTCCTCCTATAACAGCACTGATATCATTCATGGGGAAATCTACCCTTATGCCTTATTTACCTCCCAAAGACCTCATCTTCAAATACCATCTTGTTGGGAATTACAGCTACAGCATGTGGATTTTGGAGTGGGGGTTTCAGGGGAACAAAAACATTCAATCCATAGTAATGTCTTTCTTGGGGAAAATGGAGAGTGAGTCTGAGCAGCAAGACAAGATTAGGAAATGGTGTACTCTTATGAGGCAGAGGATTGCATGGGGCATTCTGTATTTAAATTCAGTGTGTTTGTTCTTGTAATTCTATTTATTTCCAGTCCCTCAGTAAAATCTCCTGTGAACACCTATACACACCCTGTGTTCAGAGCACGGTGGGGAACACCGGGAGGTGTGGCTACCCTTAATTCTCATGGTGAGTCTTGCATGCCACAGGAGGCCGTATGGAGAGAATACCATGGTCTAAAGGTTCTAGATAGCCATTCACCGGCAAGTGACAGGGACTGAACAGTGAGGCATAGCACAGAAGAGCAACTGTTAAGTAGATGTAGAGTCATAAAAAATGTTCATTTTCTCATGGGGGACGATGACAAATGTGTAGTGAATGCGACATGTGATGGGGAGAGGCGATGTGGTGGGGGAAGGTATCATTCAAGAAGTTTCCTTCCTTCAGCCTGGACTTGGGGGATGGCTCTAATTTGATATATCTTGTTGTGGGAATTCTAGTTTGAGTCACTGGAGAAAACTTAGTGAGACGTCTGCAAGTGTAACCCTCAGCCATCTCGGGGTCACATGGACAGAGAGCATCGGTGGGAATCAACCATCCTCAGAGGACCAGCTAGTTGGAGAAGATGTTCACTGACCCAGCCAGATGACAGCAGCCCAGGTTTTCATAAGTACCATTCTGTTGATAACCTGAGTATGAAATGGGATCCCAGCAAAAGTGAGAAACAGTACTCCTGCCATTCTATGAAAACCAAAGTTCAGACAATATCGACAGCCTTTGCCATCAGTGCCTGAAAACTAGCTCTGTGGAACTGAAGGAATGTTGACCCTTCCCTCCCTTTCTCTCTTTACTTATATTATGGGTTTGGGGGTGATAGTTCTGGTGCCTCTGACTCTCTGATGTGGGGTGCCTTCCAGACGCAGGCTGGTCTGGCTCACACATCAGGCTGGTGCATCCATTCTCAGTTTTGACCTTCAGGTAGGAAAAACATAGTCACCTCCATGGCTATAGAGACTGTTTTAAAGAGCACTAAAGGTGTTCTTAGTGTTTATCAACATGAAGTTTTTAATGTTTTTATGTCATTTTAATTGTTGTCCATCCTACTTTGGGATTCAGGAAGACCAGGAAGAATTCTTCCATAAAGACACATGCACTCTTGCCTAATTATGCAACGACCTTCTAGACGTACCTTGTTCTTAGAATGGTTGATTGCCAGAGTGGACTCCATGGTTTCTAAAGTGTGTCTACAGCCTGGATGGTAGCAACAAAAAGAATTCTCTGAATTCGATGACAGCCCGTTGTCCCCTGGATTAAGGGACTTGGTTTATTGCTTTCAGTGTAACGTGCTGAGTGCCGTTGACACAAAGAGGAGAGAGATGCCCCCTCCCTCTCGCTCCAACCTTGCCTTTCCTCTTGTGTGGTTTAGGCCATTGCTCCTCCACCTGGGCACACTCAGTCCTAGAGAACTCATGGGAATAGTGCCATGCATCCCTGTTCCCCCCACCAGACACCAGCAGGGCCCCTCAGCACCCAGTTGTGGCAACCAAAGTGCCTGTAGGTCTTGTCAAGTATCCATTGCAGAAGGAAAACGCTCCTGGTTCAGAATGCTGGTTTAGGGCCTCTGATCTGCTTGGACTGGCCCTGGAGCCTGCCCTCCCTCAGCAGTTTTCCAGTGGGTTACAGCGCAAGGGTTTCCTAAGGTTCTTGGTAGCATAGATTTGCTGAGCGGCTCCGGGTCCCTGGGCTGGCAGGCTGCGGCATCTCCTGCCCCCCCCACACATCTCTTGCCTCTTCCATGAAGACCTCTCCTCTGCCCACTTCTGCCTTTTGCCTCTATTTCCTAGTTCCCCTCAAGTGCAAGGACATACATGTGATGATATTTCCTCTTATTCCTGTATTAACTAAATGGACAGCAAGTGCAATGAAATGCCAAACTACAGGACAAAAAATATTATGCACTTGGATTTGATCGCATTTATCTCTGATTAGGATACACAGGTAGAAAAGCTGAGAGATATTTATTAGTAGGAAAAAATTCCTAACCCTGGTCATATTTAATGTATTTAATAAATACTCAACCTAAATGTGCTTAGCACAGTTACTTTAACCCCACATGTATCATTTCTATACACAAAGGAAGCAGCATACATTTGGAATTTTATTTTAAGCATCATATATATTTTTTAATCTCTCTGATGTTCCCCAAACCCCTGAATATGCTTGGGTTGCTTTGGAAAGCTTGGCTCAGTGATTTGGATTTTGTGTGTTTTAGTACATTCTATTGGAATGTTTTCTTTTAGACATTTATGTCTGCCAAGTCTGTGACATTTCTCTCATGATGCGTGTCTCTGTGAGTCACCAAATGCTTATTGTGAAGCTGTAGCTTAATTTCTGCATTGACTAATTCTGCCTTATGCATGAAAACCTGCTCAAGGAGTGGACCCAGAAGTGGCCAGTGGGAGGGCAGCGTGGCATCCGGAAGGGGAGACATACAGACCCTCATCAGCTTCTTTTCTGATTTATATTCATCAGGACGATCTATTCTTAATTCAGGGCATGTAATGAAGGATTGCTGCTCACTCCTCTGGCTTTGATTTATTAGTAAGATCTCCTGAATGAGAAAAAGCCTCAGACATCATTTGGTTGACAACTTGAAACTCTTCTGAATCTTCCCCCTTCATTCTATTTTCTGGTTTTCTTTTTGAATTATTTCCTGAGAGGAAGATTTTCTTTATGGTCACCATTTGAATCATGCCACATATAGCTTGGTCTGGTGCATAGATCTGTATTATTAGGCAGTCATGAGGCTCTGAAATAGGTTTAAATATGGCAGCTATGGGCAATTTTCTTATGAGTGACCTCATTTGGTCATGGAAAGTTTTCTGGAACAGCCACTATCCCATCCAGGCCTGACAACCTTCTCCCAGAGTGACAGATAAAATTACCCAAGTTCCCAGCCTCCCTTGAAATTAGATGTTTCCATGTGACCTAGTTCAGGGCAATGGGGTAGTGAAGGAAGTATATTGAAGTTGTAGGGTTTCTGGGAAGACTTTTTCTCACTGATTAAAAAAAAAAAAGTATACAAGTACAGTGCTCTCTAACTGCTTGAATATCTACCTGTTTCCAGCCTTTGACTATGTGAAATGGCTACAGTTGTAGCAGCCATTTTGTGACCATGAGGGAAAGTTCTCTCTCAAGGAGAATTTGTGAAGATGCCAAATCTAGCATCTTGACATGATAGGTAACCCAACCAAGAGGGGTTAATCTATAGGATATTTATTATTTCTTTAGTGGTATAGTGGTAGATATTTCTGCTAGTGGTTCTGTGTCTGCAGCTAATTGTAATGGAACAGCAACTAAAGCTGGATCACCAAAGTTTATAGATTAGTCACAAATGCTAAAGCTTCAGACATTTGAACCTCTAGTATTCCCTCTTCTTTTATGCCTCTTTGACTCAGTGTACATAGTTTATAAAGTCAAAGAAATACAAAGTACTTCTACACGTGAACGATAAAATGTGTGGATAACAGAATAGGAAGAGACCTGATTTCAGATTACATTTAATTCATAAGAAATTGTTAATGTTGACCAATTCAGTAAATACAACAGTAAAAGCAAGACTGAGACTAAGTCCCAAGATGAAAATAGCTATAAAATATATAAATTTGGATTAATGCAAAACAACATAGAAGCACTGAAATCCCATATTTTGTGATTTAAATGACTTAATACCAATTTAATTTGACCCCGGTCCTTCAAATCTGAAGTTCCTTTAGAACTTGACACCTTGAATTGAAGTCAAGCTGCTAGCAGGTCCTGTAGGGATCACTCTCTTAATATCTACAAAAGAAACAGCACAAACAAGGGGCTGATCACCAGCTCTCTGGGCCAGGTTCTAAGGTCAGTGGTATTTAAAACAAAACTGCTTCTAACATTTGGAACATTCTTGAAAGAACTTGGCCTTCTGTTCACAATTGTACTTATATTAAGGACAAATAAAAAGTTGGTGAAAGGCTTACATGTGCATTAATTAGGTGTTCTGAATATCATTTGAAGATACAGAACCTTATAGGATTTGGGAATCAAAATTACATTTGGATAAATAGCACGTAGGCAGTAAGATTCGTCTCAGTGTGGTTTTTAAAGAGCCAAGATCCTAAGCTGCCTGAATCATCCTCTGAAAGAAAAAAGATGAGCTCAGTATGCCATGGCCGTGCTGCTGAAACGACGATAAGATGTTCTGCGGCGCTAACTCTGAGCAGGGTAATGCACTGTGACATGTTCAGAGGAGGAACTGAATTCTACAAGACAAGCAAGCCAGTGATAGGAGCTTTTATGTGGGCTGATTAATAAACTCCTGGAAGGATTATACCCAAATCAACTGCTCACTCTCTGGAATAAGGTGCAACAGGCGAAGGAAAACTTTGCAACTGATCGCAGGAGCAGACGTCATCTCAAGATGGATGCTTACCCTGGGAGGCTGAGTCCTCTTGGAATTCTCTAGGGGAAGTGAGTGAGATCCCAAGGCTTGGGTGTAGATGGTCCTGCAAGGACCCAGAGAAACAGGGCCAATAGCACAGTGAAAGAGGCATTTGTGTGTGTGCTGCTGAAGGAGGGTGTGAGGGCACAGGAAGGGGAAGGGAGAGTTCTAGAGGCCTGGCAGGACGCCAGAGATCTTCAGAGCTGTGTGTGGAGCATCTGGGTGGGGGAGTGGTTGAGGGATCCCAAGCTCAGGATGTCTTTTTTCAGTGTGAAGTTCTTGCCATGTGCGTTTCCTTCATTCTCCCTCCAAATCACCAGTAGGATGTAATAAGTACCCAAAATTGCTTTTCGTGAGTGGATTTTTTTGTGTGCACCTGTGAGATTTAAGCAAGGGTCTGCATGGATGCCTGCAGACCAGTGAATCATCCATGGTGGGGAGGTTGCCTCTGCTCACAAAAA